TTAATTTCAATTCTGTCTTTGTGTTCTTTATTAAAATTAAATAATTTAGTAATATCATAAAAGATCCAGGCAGAGCTGCACATAAAATATGGTTTCAAATCTTTTCAATAATTATCGATATCGATCAATATGCATTTTTTTTATCGATAAGATTTTTTTCTATATCGCCCAGAACTACGCAGTAGGCAACTACCCAGGCAGCTTCAAGTCAGACCTATTTAGGTTTGTAACACTCACCTTGGAACAACTGTCTTCATCTGCTGTGTTTTCCAAATCCGAATCGGATTTCTTCCCTAAAAAATAAAGAGGGCACATTAACGAGCATGTGTATGAAACTTTCATATTCAGATCAAATGTTAAAATAAGAAGTGGAACTAAAATTACCTTTGCTTTTTCCACTTAACCTTGAAGGTGTATCAGTTGACGGCGATGTCTGAATGTACTCTGGATCACCACCTTCATCTTCAATAGCCTTAAAAAGATATTTTTGAGGATTAAATTAAATCATAGTAACCGACTACTGTTTTTAACCAAAGAGAGATCTTTCACAAATATTAGATTAGAGATGGAGGGTCTCAAATATAATAAACTGAAAACGATCTGATTAATCATGATATATCAATTGAAATAATCAAATTTAGTAATCGATTAATCGTTAACTGGGTTCTAAAGACTAAAACATGCCTTTAGCTGACAGAGCAGCCCAATTAGAGCAGTATTCTATCAAAATTGTAGGAAAAATATAAACATTTTGCATTTAAGATTTCAAAATTTTTTTATCGTGTGTCAATATTCTCAATCCAGAACTCCTTAAGTGGAAAAGTTTGGTTACCTGGTTTAATTTAGAAAAAAATATTTTTCGAGGAACCTTTGGTAATACGCAATACGGGGTTTGCTGTCGCTAATCCCATAATGCTTTCCCATAATGCCGCTGTAAGGTAGCAACAGAGGCGACTAATAAAGATGGTGCAGGCACTGCATGGTAGAGGCAGAGTCATGCGACCAATGAGGAGCTAAATTAAGTGATCATCTGTCCGAATGGTAAGTTACCCGAGTTCGCTATAAAGTCCACTATATAGTCCCCACTCTATATAATGATTGAGGGATTTAGGGGTTAAGTTGGACATTCAGACACAGTAAGCTTGTATGAGCTATGAGAACAACTTTTAAACAGAATGTACATGAGGAGAAATGGGCTCATGCATGCTCTTGCATGTGTTTAATAGGCGTTTCGTCTCGGGAGCAAGTACAGGGTAGAAATGAGTGGATCGATCCTAAGATTAATACCAACTCTGGTACTGAACAATACTTTTTATTCTCTCCCACATGCACCAGCTGCAGCAGATCCACTACTCTCCCCATCTGTGTTACAGCACTTTGCTGCTCCCCTCTATCCTCTCGTCACTAGCTCAGGATGCAGGCTCAGCCTGGCCCGCCCACTCAGCTCACTCTCTCTCTACTCGACACACAAACAATCGCACCGCCTCTTCGCAGACTCGGAGGGAGAGACAACAGGAGCAAAAAAACATGGAGAACAGAGAATAAAGCGCCATTTGGCTATATTTTAATACTGTAAATTAAATAACGACAAGCTGTTTATATAAGCACATGAAAAACCATAAGCAAGAAAATGTCGAGTAGACGAAACTTCACTCAATGCCCCAAAAGACCCTCGACTTTCAAAAAGACGTAACTGACAGGGGCGTTTCAACCCTCCACAGAATATCCAGGTAGATAAGAGTGATCACCTTCATGTTGACTCTCAAAGTAGATATTATATGTCTTATGTTAGTGGAGCCCACACAGAAAGTGTGATTAAGACCTTGAAAGAACCCAGTACATTTATCCCATTAAAAAATGTTATCTAAATGGGCTACCATTAACTAATTGTTTATTTATACCACGATGGGGACATTTATAGAAATAAAGCAGCAGCCAAGTGTACACAATAGAAACAAAATTACATAAAGATTGATAGATATAAGAAGTGGATTAGGGAAAAAATGAACAGAACATTATTAATATTATTCAATTGCAACAATAAAATAAAAATCACAAAAACACTGAAAGGTCAGCAGTTCCATGATACATCAAATTTAAATGTAAAAAGTATCGGTATCGTATCAATATCGGCAATACTGACCCTGGATTTACTAGGTATCATACGGAGTAAAAATTCCCAGTATCGCCCACCTCTAGCACAGGATCTCGAAAATCCTTAACTATACCTTTAATCGATTAATTTAAAAAAATAACCGACACAGTCATCGATTTGCAACGAAAAAGAAATGGTTTGTTGCAGCCCTACAAATAACCAATGCAAATTTAACTACTCCCTAATTTGAGAAGGGTTGCAGTAGGCTGTTGCACATCTTCAGCTCATTGGACAAGAGACATGCTGCTCCACCTCTTATCCAATGGTTTCCATTACCATCCACCATCCATCACAGACCATCAGCTGGATGATAAAACGCTCCAAACAGACTACATCTGAATAGAAATTTAGAAAGACCAACAACCTGTCAATTGTGGGAGAAAGATAAAAAGATATAATCTGTAAATACACTGAGAGGGTGTCAAGTCCAGACAGAAGGCCCACTAGCATAGATTTGTATCCAGAATATAGAAGGCCAAAACTGCTGCTTATGCAACTAAATATGGTTTAGAAATAACAATAACAACAATAATTGAATTATACATATTATCCAGTTAGTGGCAGACAATGGGAGTTTTTACATTTCAGTGTTTATTTCCGAACATCTAATTGATGTGCCAGACGAAGACTGAATTTATCCCACGCCACGTACAACTAAAAAGACGCACGTACGCATTTAACTAGGAAACACAACTGCGAAACCCAGAAGTTAAAAACTACAAGAAGCCATATTATGTAGCACTGCTGGAACGCCATCACATTAGCTAGGATTAGCACTAGCATTTCTGCATCGCATACCGAGATGATTCGACCTTTCTTTTAATAAACTGGTTCGTTCTCTTACCTGTTTCAGTCTTGAAAGAAGAACGCTTTTTACACCAAATGTGTCCAAGCCCCTTTTCTTGAGCTCGGATTTAAGGTCAACAACTCTTAATTCTGTTATTTTCTTTGAATCTGTTGAAATGGCACCCGACGCCATTTTACCTCCAGATTAGCGAGATGATCTCTTCTTCGTTGTCTTTATTCGTTGTTGGTCACTTATCCTAGCGCCCCCTGCTGTCAAGCCCTCGACTCAATCATGCTTTTAGAGTATTGTATGGGAGTTTAAATTATTAAGATATTCAAGACTTTAAGAAGAACTTAAATTAAATAACCGGAGAACATTTAAAATGATCTTACAACAGGCTAGATGAAGCTTTGATTACAAAAACAACCTCTAAGAGCCAAAACAAACAAACAAAAAAATAATTTCTTAAAATTTACACTGCAAACTCAAGAGAGCCGCAGCTTTTACAAATATATATATATAAAAAAAAGCAAAATAACAACAGATATAATGGATGTGGGCAAATTATTTTTATGATTGCAATATAAAATGTTTTGTAGATTTTAAAAGCAACATTAAAAACTTGAATAAATTACATAGGTGTTGAGAGCAAACTTTACATAAATGGGATCTGATTAGGATTTGAACTAAGAAAACCATCCATTTGTAGCAAGCAAACTGTTAATAGATCTATATTAATTTTGGCATATGAGTGCTAGGATTATAATAAACCTACCAATGACCAGACATACTATCACGAGATGTTTAAAAGGTATTTTATCGATTTAACTGGTAAAGACCACCTAATAAATACATATTTTTATTCCTTGGGTGGTTCCCATTTGCTATTATTGTAACTCAGAAATTTCTTGTATGCTGAACCCAAGAGGACAATGTTTTACTTTGGTATTAGCATTTGAGTCTTTTTGTTATTATATGACCTATTCAGATTGTCTAATAACCTTTAAATGTAGGATTTTACTTTTTTTTTCTAAGAACAACAAAAATTTCTCAGTTTTGTATTTCATGTCCTTCTTTTAACACTGCAACCTAAAATTAGGGGCAGAAGTTAGGATGATCTTAGAGACATTGTTAAAAAACAGTAAAAGTAAAATTAATCTCTCTAAACTCTTTCTTTAATCATTCAGTAGCAATCCATTTATTGAAAAGGAGTCTGATTATTTATGTGATACATTTTGTGTCATAATAAATCTACATGTTGAGGGTTTCCCAAATACTTAAGTTTTTTTTTTTCCTTTTCAATAATTCGTTTTTTTCTGTTTGCAGAATGCAGGTACAAGTAACTCCAGTAATGATTCCTAGATTTGGTATAGTGCAAAAAATGTATGTTATTTTATATCATTATGGTTATTGCTATAATACCTAAGGAGGTTCATTGCATGATTTGTGTGCATTTAAAACCTTCACTTTAACCTTCTCCCTTTTTTATAATTTATTTTATTTTTATTTTTTATTTATTGTATAGATGTTTTGCAGAAAATTATGACAGCAACATTCTACATAGTTGCGGTACATATTGGTGCACTGCAAAACAATGTGCAGTGCAGGCTGAAGTCCTTTAACATCTGTGTGGCGATGCTGAGGATGTTTTATGAGTCAGTTGTTGCTAGTAAGCTCTTCTTTGCTGTCACATGCTGGGGCAGTGGGCTGAGGGTCACTGACAACAACAGACTGAACAAACTGATCAGGAGGGCCGGTGATGTTGTGGGGGAGCTGCTGGACACTCTGACCACCGTGGCAGAGAAGAGGATGCTGTCCAGGCTTCAGTCCATCTTAGACAATGACTCACATCCTCTCCACGACACACTGGTCCAGCAGACGAGCTCCTTCAGCAGAAGACTCCTCTTACCCAGATGCACCACAGAGCGCCACAGGAAATCATTCCTGCCTGTGGTTATCAATCTATATATATATATATATATATATATATATGGGATTATTAAAGTATTTCTGATTATGATTCTGAAAGCATGAAAATAGAATAGAATAAAAAAAAAAATTCCTTTATTGTCCCTCCATGGGGAAATTGTGGCGTTGTAGCGTCAAAAGGTTACAGCAAATATGGTCACACAAATGTGGACCTTAAAAAGTGTTTAAAAATAACAGAATAAGTGAAAGAGTTAAAATAATTAACAAATAAAATACTGTACTTTACAGTGTTTTTACAATATAAACACTGCATCTGGAGAATACATAATCAATATACAGCTGTGGACATTTTTACAGTAACAGATAAAAACAGAAGCAGCATCAGAGATGTGCAAAAATTAGAGGAGCATGTTATAAATAAATGTAAATGATAACTGTAATAATAAAAATAAATATAATGTAATCAATACTTAACTGGTCAACCACCCACCTGCCACCCATGAGCCTAATTAATTTAGTCTCTAACATTTCCTTTTCCTA